TTAATTAATATAAATTAATAAATGAATCTATCCAGAACCACAAATTATTATGATATCAAAATGATGTCAAAATGACTCCAAAATGATTATTAAGTCATTTTTTAATCATTTTCGATTCATTTTAATGTCATTTTGACATTATCGTGACCTGTTGTTCTGCTTGGGTATTGCACTCTTTTTCTGTCTACTATGATTAATTTTGTAAAACGAATCATATGTCTCATTTGCGTTATGTATACCCCATTTGCGTTGTATTTTTATTCCTGGATCTCACGCGACATACAATATTTATTGTTAGAGAAAAGTTTTCTGTATTTATTATACTGCGGTAATTGCATAGTTAAATAATTAGGAGTTTTCATAATTATGATTATTATAATGTTAGTAATAATATACACATTATATATAAAAATATTACATATAAAATATTTTTATTATTTACGAAAATAATTACATTATTACTAATATAATTAATAAAACTAAGTTTTATCGTTTTATATTACTTTTGAAAACGAATATAAAATTATAGTGGTTTTGCAGGACAGCTGCATATTCTTTTTGGTATATAAAACTATAAATACAATTATTATTATTACTAACATTATACTACAATTACAATAATAGACATTTTCGATACCAACTATATATTTTTCTTAGTATAATTCTTCCATAATTATTTTACTATACAATTCTAGTCAAAAAAATACCAAATATTTTTTTCTCAGCGATGATATTTGCGTTCAGCGAAAGTATGTTTTTATGAAAATATATATTATAAATGTGCGAAATACGGCCGTCACGCTGCAGATGCATGTAGATGACGAAGCTCGTACACTACGCACATGAGAAAAACACGACGTAACAAAAACATGGAAGACAAAGTCTCGACTTTCATTAGCCCACGAGACGAATGACCTCGCGTAACTCTTAACCGGGTTGTGCTCAAGGATTAAAGCGATGTTATGTCGCCTGTTACAATATCTCCCCTGTAGCTTTTCTCACTCGAGAGAGCCCGAGATGATCCGGGCTCAAAATGCTCGCGGCGATCCACGCTAATTAAGCCCCTCGGTATTTATTTACACATTCGCAATTGCGACTGATTAAGTTTTTATTTATTTCTAATCGCAATCTCGATCTTCTGCACGACCCTACCTCAAATTATTAATTAGAAAATCTTCATCCTAATTTAGTCAAATAGATATTGGTATTCCTCAAATAGAATACAGAAGTCGTAATAATATACTAAGAAAAATTTCTAGCTGAAAATGAACAACCAGAAAATTCTAACCATGTCAATCAGAATTGTGGTTGTCTCAACTAGAATCATATTAGATTTTCAATCAGAAAATTCTGATTTCTTCATTTTCAATCAGAATTCCAATTAATCTAACCAGACTCTTCTATCAGAATTTTTTTGATTATTCTAACTAGAATTATAACAGATTCAACCAGAAAATTCTAATTGGTATTTTCAACAAGAATTCCAATTAATCCAACCAGACTCTTTTTCCAGTATTATAAGGACATCATTATGATCTTATTTATCACTTAAAGTTCATTTTTAAGTATGAAATGACGTCATGATGACATCCTATGATTCATTCTGACATAATTATGACTCTGTGTTCTATCTGAGTTAATTTGGAGCAATAAAAGATTTGCTTTGTTTCATGAAGATTCCAGCTATTATTAGAAAAATTAAAAGTCATATTGTCAATTACTTAAAAAGTAATTTATTTAAAAGATCGGTAAATAGAAATATTAATCAAATTTGCTAAATGAGGAGCATGAAAGGCTACACAAGATCTTATGTCATCTACAATATGCAGAGTAAACTTGGTGTAAGAAGTAAGAGTAACAAATTGACCAATTACAGTCGATTATTCTTCTCACATTCGACTGTGACTGGTCAATTTCTTACTTCTTACAGTTCTTACATTAAGCTTACTCCGCATATTGCAGACGACGCATTATTATGAAAAAGAATCTTTATAAAATGTCTTATGTATAATTTTATTTTTCATGCTCCTTATTTAGCAAATTTAATTCATAAAGCCGTTTTCATTACAAAAATATTAAGGACAGCAAAATGCTATTTGCACAAAGGCGCCATATACGTCAATAGCAGCCCTGGAAGGCGGGGTTCGCGCCCCGAAGGGTCGGAAAACGTTCCTCGGGTCATCCAGTTCGAGAAAATAAGTGATGAAAAGGAGCCATCGTAATTTCCAGTCTGGTATCTAAATTTTCTCAAGCAGAACAGAAAAAATCATCAAAATGACATCAAAAGGCTCCAAAATGCTGATTAAAAATTACTTTTCGATCAGTCATGATTCGTTTCGATATTATTTTGACGTTTATATGTAACCTGTCGTTCTGCTTGAATTAATTCTCTCACAGATGGGATTCCCGCACTCCATCTATCCTAAGACTTGTTGCTGCTACTGATGATGCTGTTGCTGTTATCGCCGCCGTCACCGGTAGTAATGAGTTCCATGCGCGAGTTTATCGATCGGACTCTCGTCGGCCTATATAAAAGCAGCCGCCATTGACGGTTCTCCAGGTCGTGAAAGAGCAGGTCGGGATTTGTGTGCACACCCGGGGCATCGTCGTCGACAACGTTACGACGTAGAAGAGAAGAAAAGGAAGAAAAAGGGAAGAACTGCTCATTAGCCTGTTTATCCTGAGGGGGTGTCACGTAGATGAGAGATTAAATTAATCAGGTACATCGCGCTTCCCCGCATTTCATTACGTTATTATCCACCAGTCCGTCAATTCTGTTAATTAAGTTAAGTTAGTTTTGTTTTCGTGTTGATCAGAATCCCACCATCCACATAGTCAATTTGGTCTCTGCTTTGATTCCGCGATTTGCTTCTCATCCAGTTACGACACATCTCAAGTAAAAAAAAAACACAGAAAAATCATAATAATATTATAAAAACATCATTATGATCATGTTTGTCATTTACATAAGTTTTTTTTAAGTATCCAATGGTGACGTCATGATGACGTCAGGTGATATCATTACAACTTTATGATGACTTTGTTCCAAAGAATACATAGAAATCAACAAAAAAAACAAAATGACTTTATTTTTATTCTTAATAAACAGTCAAATTTTGTAATAAAAATCATTTTGATTCTCATGACATCAAAATAAAGTCAGTGTCCCAAGATCAACAAGTCATTTAACATCAAAATGATGTCAAAATGATTCTAAAATGATCATTAAAAATTATTTTCCAATCGTTTACGATTCATTTTAACGTCATTTTGATGATTAATTATTGTTCTACTTGGGGTTCTACCTGGAATCCCAAGAACAACATATGTCACTATAACGACAAAATGACGTTAAAATAAATAATCGAATCAAAAAGTAATTTTTAATCATCATTTTAGAGCCATTTTGATGTCATTTTGATGTCATAATGATTTTTTGATCTACTTGGGACGTTTTGCGATAATCTACTAAATTTTTAATTATAATATTAATATGTAAATTATTGAGTTTTTTAATTGTAAATCTCACCTGCGACACGTAGCCGCGTGTGGAATCGTCCTGTCAACCACAGTCGGACCGACTCGTCGCGATTCACTCCGATCCCGTTCCGGGGAACGCTTGTTCGCGAGAATTTACAAAGTAAGACATCAACAATCAAGGTCGTTGTTCGCCGATTGCAAAACGTACGCAGACAAACACGCGAGGTCGCGATAAGCACGCGAAATTCAACCGAGTTTCACACTACAAGTCGATACCATCTGGTAACTCGATTCCCCTTTGTAACGTTTAAAACACCAGTTTTCGTTAACGTTAGTTTTTGTTGACAAAATAAAAAGATCGTTCTATGCAAATTCGAGAAATTCGCAAGCGTTACGATTTATATTATAATTTATGTTTATTTCTTTATGAAACGTTTCTCTTTATGTTTATCGATCTTGAAGGAAAGAACGTTTGCTGCGCAATGTAATTTGTATTCAGTTTGTGCCCCATTTATTATCTTATTACAATGTTTTTCTTATTTAACTCATTTTATTTAATTTTATTCTGACTTTTAATTAGAAGGTATATGAGAGAACTCCTTTACCTTACGATTTCTTTCCTTCCTTTTTAATCACTTTTTATAATCTAACTGTTACTTTCTGGTTAATTCTCTAGTTCAATTTTAAATTCAATGAGTTTTGATATTAAGTTCGATGAGTTTTTCTATGAATATCGGATTTTCACGAAGGGCTATTCCGATCTCTGGACTTTTCTTGACGTTACATCATAGATTTCCTTGATACGTCTTCATTCGCGCGAAGGACTTCATTACCCTATTAACAAAATCGATATTAGCTCGGTACACAATATGCAAAATAGACGTCAATATATCTATATATATTTATTACGATATAGAATACAAGTACGCGTTTGACGACATCGAGCGCAAAACCGAATCGAGGAGCTTGTTTTTATACTCACTCTAACAGCGAATTTGATTGGATGCATTCAGTGCGCACTGATGTATGTACATTAACCCAGACAGCAAACAATATTTATATTCTATATTTTAATAATATTTTGAATAAAGGTTTATATTATATAAAATATGTATGAAATATCTATATAACATTTCACAAAATGAATATTAATAAATATTCTATGCTGTCTGGGAAAGCCATCGTACATAAATTGACATAAATATATTATTGTTCATTATAAACATAGAAATCGGTTAAGCAGTGAAATTATGTGCTCAATACACTTTATTGTATTGTTAAGTAAAATATGTTATACTTATAATTCAAAATATTTGTATGTCATCTTTTACATCCAGGTTAAATCAGTGTAAAACGGCTTTAATATGCACCAGTGCGCACTAGTCCAATAATAAAAGAGTCGTGAGACCATTCGAGCGGATCGGATGTGTTTCGTCTCGTTTCGAGTGTTGCGTCACCCAGCCCTGGCTTTAGGGGAGGGAGCTAAGGGGGCTGTAGCCCCGGGCCCCATCTTTTTAGGAGGCCCCTTAGTCTTAAGCCGGTGGCACACGATGCTTATTTTTCTACTGGATTCTTAGGGCCTCTTTCATCAACCCCGATTAACGTTAATCGGTGGTTAACTCGATCACCACGATTGTCAACATGAGAACTAACACAGAAGAGGAAGAGAGAAGAGACGTTCTGATACACTAAACTGCTGTTGGCACTTCTGCGAGTTAATCGTCGATTGATTTAATCAAAAGTTATTGAAAGAGACTCTTAGCTGGATTAGAATCTTGCTATCATATTGGCTGTGGTACTGACAATGCCCAGCATCGTAACTATAATATGGTGGCAAAAATCTAGCTAGTAATCCAGTAAGAAAACAAGCATCGTATGCCGTCGGTTTTTTTTTAGTTTAAAATTATATTTAATAAAATTATATTTAATTTTTAAAAGTAAATAATAAAAAAAGTAAATAAGAATGCAAATAAATAATTGAAAATTTCAATTTTCCATTCCTGGTACAATAAAACACAATACGCAGTAAAAAAGATATACATTTTATATTTTTTTTTTATCTGAATGAGATTATCGTCATTGACATTATTATCAATAGAGAGCGAATTGATGAAAAATCTTGATTTCACTGATTTGATTAATGAATTTGCGCATAAATCAAGAAAAAAGTGTATATAAGTACCACTAAAGTTTCAATAAAATGTGAATTATCATTATATATGCGTTTCTTTTGTAGCATTCACTGTATTGTATCTTGTAAGAATAGACAACAAAAGTCGTTTTACGAACAACCATACTCGTTAAATAGCAAATGGAAAACATGTTTATATATTGTTTATATATTAAAATTGGATGGAAAACAGGTTTTTTTAGTAACAGAACTATTGTCGGACTATTCTTCTGACAATGAGTAAAGAGAACCCCGTTTCAACTTTAGCTCCTGGACCACAAATTCCTTAAGCCGGCCCTGGTGTCACCTCGATTATATTTTTGACAAAGCGTGGTCGATTTCGACAGTGTATTTGCATTACATAATTCATAGTCTCTTCGTTCGTCTCCCTACTGAAAAGAATCACATTACAAAGTTATATAACGAAATCATGTAATTAAAACATATAAATCAAGTAATGAATTATTTCAAATCATTACGTGACTTTTTAAAATTATACATAATTTGAAAAATCACACGATATGTATTTTTTCTTCTCTTTCTATCATTTAATTATTTAAAATTCGATAACTATATAAAATCATATGATAGATTAAAAATTATTTTCAATATTATGTGATTTTAAAAAATTACATACTGATTTGGACCAATCAGTTACGTGATTTACTTGTTTTAATTACATGATTTCGTCATGTAACTTTATGACGCGATATTTTTTAGTAGTCGCAGGCTCTCAGTGATTGAAGGGGCGCTTTGCCATTTCCGTTTTGATTGCATCATCCTTTTGTTACGTCCCGGAGTTCGAACTTCGAGGTGGCCGATGCATTAGCATCTCTATTACACGAACTATCCAATTTCGGAAACCATCAGTGGCCCAGTATCAACCGGTTAGGTTGCGGAGCCAATAAAATGAGAAGTGCGTCCAATCAAATTCGCCATAAGAAAAATGGGTGTGGATCACGGTTGCCAGGTCCCGAGCACTGTACGGCTGGGGCCTAAAGGTTCATCCGTTGGAGATTTCATATTTCGACTGGAGACCGGCCGATTGTTTCATTAAAAAAAAAAGAAAAAAGAAAAAGGCGCAGGGTTTAATTCGTGTTTTGCGACCATTGTTATAGACTTTCTTTTTGTTATTAATATTTCACCAACATAAAGTATCAACACAATCACACACAAAGACCTTCTTATTATTATTACAAGATTTATACATACAGTACGAACACAATTACAAACTTTTTTATTATTCGTAAAATAACATAAACTGTGAACATAATCGCAGGCTTTCTTATTACTTTCCACGTAATTTAAATATGTAATTAATAAATACCCCACGCGAGCGAAAAACTGGAGATTTTTCTCGTCTGCTGGAGAATTGGAGATTGAACCTGAAAACTGGAGTCTCCAGTAGAAATTTGGAGACCTGGCAACTGTGGTGTGGATTTGATACCATGCGGAACCCATATATTCATAACTCTCGATGTGTTGGTGTTGATATAAACATGATGTATGAATTTAATACCATGATTCAAAATCCATGGTATTGAATCCACACCCTATTGATATTTATATCAATAGTTGCTTTCCATTTACATCGATTCTGAGATAATTCTCACTTGTGACGTCATAACTCAGTTGAATGCGCGTTCCTTTTGCATTCTGACAAGTGAGATTTAACTGAGTTTTTGCCTACAACTTGCTACAAGATCGAGACCGTGTGCTTTAATAAACCTCGTAAACTCACTTTAAAAGTAAGGTTATGAACAATATGAACCTGTGTTGATAACTTTTTACCAAAGTTAAGCAAATAATGTCGTCATTAATTGTGAATATGAAATACTCAGTTCACTTCAAGCTCAGTTTCACTTGTGTGCAAATGGAAAGCAACTAATATCAACATGGATGAGAATTATATTTAAAAACACTTATGATGATAAATCCACATCCATATTTTTTAAAATGTTTAAATAGTATTGAAAAAAAAATTATAATTATCGGAAATTTATAAAGATGATATGTAAGATCATTATAACGTATTGTTTTCTTTAAAGATAGAATTAGAAATGTAATCTCCCTTTATTATTATTCAATACATTGATTATAAGAATCTACAAATTAATACAGCGTTAAATACAAAAAGTCGACTGATGCAGAGAAATATAAAATTTTAAAAAATTTTGAAAAAATGAACTTGTAGACAAATACTTGATAATCGAAGATGTTATTGACATACTTCTTCAATTTTTTAAACCCATATCTTATTATAATACATAATTGATTTTTTAATCTTTAAATATTACAAAATTAATAATAATTTTAATTAATCAAATATATATATAAAATAATAATTTTAATTATTAAAAATTAGTAATAATAATATAATTTTTGTATATCTCTATTATTTATTATATAATAGTATTTTCTTCTGTCACAAATGACAAATTTGTTTCTTCATTCTTTTTTTTAATTCATATTCTTTTATACAAAATAGTCTTTTTACTAAAATGTTACGTTAATCTGTGTATATCTTTAATTTATATATGCTAAACAAAAAAAGTACTCAAATGAGAAAAAGAGACAACACACATACTTATGCCTCCAATTTCTTTCTCGACGTTTCTTTCGCGCATATTAAACACTACGTTTCTGCTGACTAGTTCGAGCACAATGGCATTGCCACGGTGGATCCTGCCGCTGCTGATCC